CCCCCCCCCCCCCCAGCCGTCCTTCCTCTGGCTAATAATCAATTGCCCATTGAGTGATTCTGCGGGCCGGCCGGCTGACCTGCTCACACCACGACCACCACCATAACAAGAAGGGCATTAGTACAACATGTTTGTGCGTGCCTCGGCAATAACAGCCTTCAAAGGCACATCGTCTTTATTTCCCCCTTCAGTACACCTTCAAGCGAAAACTGTTCACGGAATCTATCTATCAAAGCATTGGCAACCCGCAGCCCCTTTGTCGTCAGAGGGGGCATTGGATACGCCCCCGAATTCACGCCGTTGCTTGGAGAGTGGCCTCCGTTGGTACGCAACCCCGCCCCCGTCCGTAGAAGACGGGTACCAGGTACAGAACCTGAGCCGTCAAGACCATCTAGTACGCCGAGAAACACGTCCTGGCCATACCCCCCGTCCTCTCGAGGACGCGCGGTCACTGGTCTAGCAACTAAGGCATGGAGAACATGAGTACCACCACCACACCCCGCACCTCCTGTCCAACAATGACACCGAGCACCACACCCCCCTCTTTTTCTATTCTCCCATGAAACACACCCGAAACAACAAACATAACAGATCGCAAGCGCCATCAGGACCATCTCCCACGACGAGAAGGACTCTTTCAGGTCCCGCCAGCTTGAGAGGCTCCTCGCCATAAAGGAGAAGGAGACCAGCACCGACGGTGACAGAGACGACGGCGGAGATTGAATGCAACAAAATTGTTGGTTGTTGTATGTGGTGTTTGTTAGAGCCACGCGGCGGGCGGGTGGGCAGCTTGCGCTGGCGGCAGATCATTGTTGTACAGCTTTCCGCCGAGTGGGTTTCGTAGGCGTTGGTTGTTGTTTTTGTTTGCTATTGGTGTTGCTGTTGATGTTGCCGTCTTTTTCACATTATAACTGCCCACGATCACTGTCTGCCTTCTTTTAATATAGTAAAGCGATCTCAGTAAAGCAGTCGCCTGTTCTCATTAGACTTGGCGTGGACAAGGGGACCTGCCCATTCCGTTGACCACAAAGGCGTGGGCAGGAACCCGGCACACATGCCGGCGCCACATTAGACATTTCAGACAACCGGCAATGTTGATGGCGGGGCTGGGGGAGTGGATTGTTGGTAGATTCAATCGAACAAGCCCAAAGGCGCCACATCATTAAATATTTCAAAAACAAACGTGGTCTCTTTCGCCATTCGCCCCCTTTTTTTTCAATCGTGCTCTTGAAAGAGGAGGTACATTTTGGTGTTGGTGTGGAACGGACCTATCGGCGGTGTTTACTTGTGTAATCGAAGCTTTTTCCTATTGCCTTGGAAAGCAAGTACGTGTAGCAGTCCAATGCATGGTGTATTTTCACGGCGTCGTGCTACCCTCGATGGTTTCGCGAACACCGCTGCCGTATTGGCTCCTTACGCTGTTCTAAACTTCGTGCCTGGTAGATTTTTCAACAACGATTGGGGTTGGAGGGTCTGAACGCTTGGAAATGCTGCCAGACCTCGCCGTACGTACTTAAGCTAGGGCTGAGGGTGGAAACCAGGGTTCCGTGTCCATCTTGCCTTCTTTGCCGTGCGTTCGATTGGGTAAGGACAACATTGACCGTTGGTGTAACGTTGGCACGATGTTGAGGCCTGACTTTTGTGGAGCTTGGTAATGATGATGGATTGATGCGTGTGTTCTACCCTTTGTTCCGCTGCTCACAACAGTTGTTGCTACGAACTAGTCCAGGCGTCACCTACCGCATTATCTACATCTAGAGGTTGGTGTGCTGCTTCAGATAGACAGAGATGGTGACATTCCGCGAAGTGCTATCAGGATCTGCGGAAGTGCACAACCAGGGTTGGTTTCGTCTTGACTGAGTTACACTTGGGTGCGATTGGTTTCGGTTATTGTTGTACCAGATAGTGGCTCGGAGGTGGTTGGTCTCTGGAGGTGCTGGGAAGAGGAAACGGTGATGGGCGGATACCAACGCAATGCAAGCAGGCGTGTTTTTCTTCGTTTAGACTAGTGTGCAAGTTGTGCTGTGCCGGTGCAAAAAAGGATGGGCGAAACTTGTTGGGGTGTACGGGAGTGCGATGTGGTAGCAACGGTGGGATAGAAAGTTGGAAAAGGCTCGTCTAATTCATTATTGTGCTTGATGTAAGGTTTTGTTTTTCTTGGGTATTTTTCTTAGCAGTTTTGCTGTTGTTTTCGAAGAAGCAAGGATGAGGGCACTACGGTGGTCGTATTTTTCGCTTTGGCGCAATTATCTTCATTGGGGTTCCTAAAAAAACGAGGCGTAGTAGACGAACCAATATAAGGCGCAGAGGATCGGACTACAGAGTACAGCAGTACTGCCTTCTATGTACTACTACTACTACTGTTGTTGTTGTTGTTGTTGTTGTTGTTTTCATACTAAAACCGTTCCTCCGTTCGTTCTCTCTGCCCAGTACCTCTTCCGTTACTACTAGTCGAACACTTGACGGGTCTATTTCCGTGGTCACAGGCTGACTTACCCAAAAAAGGCTAACGAAGATAAAATGGACCAGAAGGGCCCGCAAGTGAATAGCAGTGAACGGCAGATAGTCTAGGCCACTCCGCTCGCCTCTACACGCTATGCGAGGTAACCCTAGACTGGCAAAAGAAAGAAGAAAATGAAAAAAAAAAAAAGAGAGCAGATAGATGGACTAGATGCAGAAAGGGAAGGAGACACGTGCCGTAGCGACAAACAACAAACAGAACAGCACAAAAACACACAAAACAACACAAAGTGGGCCACCCGAGCCAGCAAATGCACGTCAGTCAACCTTCGTGGGGGGTTGGTGCAATGGTGCAGTGTCGTGGGGGGGGGG